ACGCGTGTCCTGTCTCTCGTCTGTATTCGCTTTCATCCACACTCAGTCTCGATACATTCTAACCGAACTTGATGTCAATATAGCCCCACTCGCATTCCTTTCATGCTCAGGTGCATGTTTCCTCAATTGTAGTTCTCGCCATACCGGCTCCTGGTCTATAAGTGCACAGCTCATCGTCATCTTACGAGTGAGCTCTTTGCGGATTCCGCGTATGCCCGCACATTCGCGCGCTAACGCTGTCTAGTTGTGCGTACGGTTTTTCACATAACGCCAACAGTGGAGGTAGGCTCGACTTGTACAAATTCAATTATCACAAACAGGGTTTCGCTGCCGCACGACCTTCCTCTGCTGCCTGCCACCGACGATAGGTTCCCGTTCGCACTCTCTTGTTTACTCAGCCGCATGATTCACTCGTACCCTTGAATTTGTCAGAACTGCCGAGAGCTTGACTTTTACGGGCTTGACTCCGTTTCCTCGCCATCGCTTTAATTATAGACTTAGCGTTAGGGCTGTAACTTCGCCTCCGGCCTACACACTTGAGCAATGCACACGACTCCACCTCTGGATCCCTGGTCTCCAACCACATAGCATAGCAGACTACGCGCGCCCTACCCCCCCTCTCTCGCCTTATCTCCTCGCCACTCAACAGAAGAAACCGTTCGGTTTGGGCCATTCACCCGCAGAACTGACTCTGACAACCGCTCAGGGTGTCTAGATCTGTTTTTTGTGCGTTTTTGTCACTTCCCTGCATCTTAGTAGCCGTCTTTTTCACACCCTAGCTCTGGGATTCCTCCTACAGCAGCCACATTGTACGGTACGGCGATTTCATCGGCTCTGTGGTTGACCACGAACTGCACTACATCCTACGATTCTCCGATGGAGCCAGGTAAGGTCCAGTATATAGGCTTTAATGAATGGTGTTTTATTATATCAAACGTCCATACATTGTCCATCACATTATAAACCTTACCCCAGTGCCTACACCAGAAGCTATCCCTATACTGCTCGCTGAAATAAATTTGTGTTTTGCCTAAGTAGGCCAACGGGCCGAAGACCACTAGAAGTAGTGACGACTTGTGCGTGGGAGGGATTCCTACAACGGCGAGTTTACGTTCTTCCCCCCACACCCATCGTGTTCCAATGGCAAGAAACTGTAAAAGCAAACGAAAATGGTTACGGACATAGCGTTCCTCCTGATATAATGCCCAAGATGCACGTGCCACTCTGTCCATTCGCATGTAAATTCTAGGGCTTGCAGGGCAAATTTCAAGATGTTCAGTTTGGTGGTAACATTTTCCATCCTGCCGACAAACGAGAAAATTTGCGGGTTAGTGTTGTTTGTTTGGTGGGACGATACAATCTGCCCTCCAAGGCTTAAAACAGTCTCTGTATGTGGGGATTAAAAGTCGCATGCATTCATTGAACCCGAAGGTTTATTGATCTACGTAGCTGGTTGTGCTCGAATAAAAAAGCTGTCCAATTGATGAAGTCAAATGTAGACGGAGGTAAGAGGTTCTGCTTTATTTGCTGTGTCCAGCCACTCCTGGTCTAATGAAAGGCTGAGAAGGCTTGACATATTAACTCGGGTTCAGTTGATCTTTACGCGCAGCGTTGCGTTACTGAGCCATCAGCTCACCTTTCATTGTCTGCTCTCGGAAGCATTCAAAGTTGCATGAGAATGAACGTCACAGATACAGTTGCGCTCTACGCCTACTGTATTCGGACCTGACTTCCAGGTCTCCTCAGTCTGAATTTTAGGCACAATTGTTTAGAGACAAAAAATGTATCAAAATTATAGAATTGTGCAATGATTTACCGTACTAACAACACAGGTATTAGCTAAAAGCCCAGACACGCGTGTTTCGACGATCTTATGCCGCTGTCTGACGCAGATACGAGGGGTTCGGCTCGTCTGTGGGTTCCCCAGCTTTCCTCGCGTGTTTTCTGGTATATGAACTCCAGTTTGAACTTGTCTTGTTTAATTTCCGAGGAAATTAATGCGCGAACTTGGAGTAACTAATTCGAAACAGACCTTTTCAGGCACGGCTCGAAGTTTGCTTTGAATATTTGAGCTGAAATCCATCAGCTACTGCGGAATAACCACTTAATATTCACAAACCGTCTGTACAACTCCTTATCAGCAACCTTGTCTTTCAGTTCTTATCACACAATTCGTGTAACGCTATAACTAAATAAGAAGCTGCATTACCTGTGTTTCTACCACCGTGCAAAGTAACACCGCACCCACAGCCTTCCTACCTCGGTCCGGAATTCAATGATTTGAGAATTTAGGCCCGTGACCCCGACGCTGTTGTACAACACTCGAAACAAGTCGTGTTGTGCTATGGGCCCTCATAGGTACGCCCCGACTTAGAGGTAGGGGGTTCGGCTTGACATTAATTCACCCTGTTAAAACTAGCTCGGGTCTGCTTTGTCAAGCCAACCAGCCATCACAGACTAACTGGCTCCCCTCTAATGTCTCCATTCCCCCTCAAGAATTAGAGTCCACGAGACGGCTGTGAATTGCTTTAAACTCCGAGAGGCCATCCCCACTGACTGGTCTGGCGACGAGTTCTACGAGGGTACCGTCATCAGTGGAGACGCTCGTAGTCTTGCTTACCGCGCTCCCGAGGCTATTGTGCGATGGAACACCGCTGACTCGAAGTCGACCTCTGGAAAGACCCCCACTGGCGAGGAGGTCGACTTCCTGCCTTTCTTCCTCAACGAAACACCGCGACATAATGCTATTTGGTTGGCTGGTCTTCGCCGTCGCACCAAGGTGGACCTCCTGGTTGAGGAACTGATTCCTATAAGAGCAAAGTTCCATCTGATGGAAATGGAGTAGGTTTGACTCCTCCTCCTCCTC